TTAATTCTTTAGGGATAGCTTTCAAATTTGCAGAATTGGAGTATGTTTCCAAGGTTAGTGGTATTTCAATAATAATTTTTTTTTCCCAATAGTCATGAGCTGTATACATATATTTAACCTTGGTACCATTTATATGCATATATTGTGTTATATGTTAGATCAGAACCTGAGAACTCACCATAAAAATCAACTTGCAATGAATGAACGCAAGTGGTTACAAGTTTACAAATTAGCCTTAAATCAGGGCGTGCATGCGATTAGAGTAATTATAATAGATAAAATAAACACTCCGCGTGCTTGTGCTTGGTGTGTTAAGTAACCAAAGATTATGTAAGCATGGTTTTTGTTGTGTTTAAATCATAAACTGATATGCCTAACTGATATTGCTATGGCAAGAGTAATGAAGTGGAGTAGAGGGATTAGGACAAGGAATGAATAACTGTAAATGCAAAGGATGATGCAGATGAATCATGCAGTATAAAAGAAAAATAACAATTCTGTATCTGTTATGTAGTTTGGCTAGTCAATTTTTAAACAGTATTGTCTTTTTATTGTTAAATTTCTTAGATATATTTGCCTAAATCTGGTTTAGGGCTCCAAGTGTTATTGTAGTATGTTATGATGAAAAGGTTGATGTGATTCTTTTACAACGGATTTTATAATTGAATGAATCAGCTCCCTAGAGGATATGATTATTATGTAGAAAATGGTGCAAGTAGCTTCTCTTTTACTTCTTGGTCAACAATTTGAATGCCTCGAGCGAAAACTTTACAACAATTATGTGTAGGAGATCAAAATTTCTTGAAGTTTTGTAAAATTTCCGTTGAAAATTTTAATAATCTTTGAGTGATGTATGGTATTGATATGCTGCTATAGTTGGATACGAAGCTCCACATTCATATTGGAAATTTGGACAACCATGGGGAGTCAACAATTATATATCAAATGCAAAATGGAGTGAATACAAGAATATCCTATTGAACTCCGTCCATGATAATTCTGCACATGTACTTAAAGCAGCTTTAATGATTTCCTCGATGTAGAAGGTTAAGCCAGATGAGAAATAAGAGAATAATAAATATTTGGAAGGAAGCTGTAAAGCACAAAGAGAGCTGTGCCTGAAAACCAGAAATATAGCGCATCCAATGTCAAGCTAGAATTCAGGTAGGCGATGTGAACCTTCAAAAATTGACAAATACATGTGTTACTGAAAATAAAGCCTTTTCCGATAAGAACCCATAAAATGAAAAATGAATGGACATGAGAGAATGGAGTTGAAATGATTGTAGAAGTGGAACCCTTACAACTCAAATAGAATGAAATGATAAAACCATCCGTTATGGTATAATTTCTTCTGCTAAAGGTTCATGAGTCGAGTGGATTCCATTTTTATGTACGTCAAACTAGTCGATGTTAGAAAATTAGAATATGGGATTTTACCAATCTGGAAATGAGGTTACTTTCAAGAAACTTAATTGTTTAAACTTGAAATTAATGAATTTCAAGTGATGGATTAAGTTCTCTGATTTAGAACTCTCATATATGTTATCTGAACGGAACATGGAATCGAGACCTAACATTGGTTCTGATAGTTGACTCTGATTTCCTCCCACACGGATCACATTTCAAACTTTGAAGAAAGTTTAGTTGTGCATCTAGTTTATTTATGTACTTATGGAGGGATGATACCTTATCAGCATGTAAACGTTCCATGTAGAAAAACAAATTTACTTTAGATCATAGATACCACCTAATTTTGGTTCACCAGTTACAGAGGACTGTTTGTGGCAGCATTGTGTGTGTTCAGAATCCTTTGTGAAGATGATGAAAGGAAATACATCTTTATTTAATTAGTGACTCGCCCTCTAGAATATTTAGGTCCTGTTTGAATCCCATTAATTTTTTGTAATGTATTATGGAAATAATAAATTGATGGGAAATGTATGGATAAAAAAAAAAATTTTAATCTATATGTAATATTATTTTAATGAAAAATGTGTGGTTGAAAATGAGTACCGTAGAAAAAATAATGAGAAATAATGGGAAAAATGGGGCTTAATCAATGAGTCATCTAATACAAAGAAACCTTTAGTGATGTGCCCTTGCATGCTGTCGTTCTACTTCAACTTTTAGTCAGGGAGTCTTTGATTGAACCTGGAAGTAACCACTTCATGCAAATTTTGTTCAGTCTACCTATCTATTAAGCCTTCCTGTTTCAGTAAGACTAACACTGGGAAAACAACCATAATCAATTATAATTTTTCCCCTCCCACGTTGGAATATTCTTTGTATTGTGTACGGAATGCATAAATATTCATTTATTAATTATAGATAATGGTACATTCAAAAAAATTTTGTTCACGCTGTTTTCCTACCTTTTTATGTTCCTTTTTATATTTTTATTTTTTTTGTTTTATAATCCTCAATCTGATGCCTTTAGGTAAGTGATCTCGCGGATGCTTCGAAAGGATATGGGACATTAAATAATATACTTGAGTTTGATGTAAAACATGACACAGTGAGGATACAAGGAAGTCTCTCACGTAAATTGCGCAGAGTTAGGCAGGGTCTGGACCTTATAAGAGCTTTATTCCAAAAATTTTTGTCATCACGGTATGTCATGCTCCCTTGTAATGAGACTTTCTTGTTTTCATATTTAATTCATATGCATTGCTGAAATATTCTATGAGAAGTCGTTAGCGATATATATTTTATGATGCAGTTAGCTGTCCTATTGTTTTGCTAAGCATACAGTTTACAGCACTGTAATAAGAAGTGTAAATAGTCATTTGTACTTCAGACAAATACCTTATACATTAGTTCTGAAATTAAAACCAAAATTGGTTTTTGTACTTTTTAAAAAATCTTCAAAGGAGATGGCAATGGCATTCTTGGAACAATGATAAAGTACTTCTGGATCCTCCATGTATGATAATCAGATAAAAGACATTGTCTTGTGTATATCATTGGTTGGCTGAGTTCATTTATCATTGACTTATTGTAGAAGTTCACTTAAATGGCTCTGAATTTGTTCCTGATACAAGAAAGTGCAATCTATTGAATGGTCATTCACAATTCTACTTCGCTATGCTACTTTCAGGGATTGCTGTTTAAGAGAAGCTGCTTCAATAGCTTATGCTAAAACTTGTGCGCCTTATCACACATGGGCAGTAAGAACTGCTGTTTCTGCTGGTATGTATGCCCTGCCGACGAGGGAACAGCTACTGCTAAGGCTAAATGAAAGCGGTGAGTTTACTCGTGTGACTTCCATGTTGCATATTTTGGAAATCAGTCTCATTTTTATGGTAACTAATGAAGGGTTTTACATTCTGTAATCGGGGCACCATGTCATAGGTTGGTCTAGTACAGCCAAATCAAGGAAATTAGAAATAGTCTGAACCATTTGGAAGATCGTACTGCAATCTACTCGTTATGAATTAGAGGAACTAAATAAAGAACATTCATTCTAGTTCTCATGCAAGATCTAAAAAAATGGAAAGCGAGATCTATTTCCCAAGTTGGCCAAACCCCTTTAAATTTCCTCGATGGTTGGAAAACAATTATGTTTATTGTGGTTCTTTGAGCACAAGTGAGCTGCTATAACAAAAATATGCCTGATTTACCCAATTTTCTTTTCATACCAAAAGTCCCCTCTTGTCGGAGAGTAAGTTGAATCTAGTATTAAATTATTGATGATTTTATTATAGGCTAGCATCTAAAGAAAAAGTCAATTATCTTGCATGGGAAATTGACGTGTTACAACATTTTGTTACAGACGAGTCTGCAGAGAAGGAAATGCAAAGATACATTGATGCCTCACTTCCGATCATACAATACATTGATAAGTTGTATTCTTCAAGAAATATCAACTTGGACTGGTGAGCTCTGCTTCACATAGAAAAACTGTTGGTGTAATTTATGTTTGGACGGGCCTGTTCAGATGAAGCTCTTTTATCATTCCTGACTTTAATCATCCCTGCAATTGATAATTTTCATAGAACAGACAGTACCGTGTTTTTGTAGATGAATTGGAATTCCTGCAGATTCTTAGAACATAGAATTCTGTGGAAGATCCAAAGTTAAGTTTTTTATCGGTCAAAGTAGAAAAATAAACTTGTTACTCATTTTGAAATTACAATCGAAACAAAGGGGGAAAATACATTTTTTCTTTCACTGAAAAAGAAAAAGAAAGAATAATAATACAACATAGCCAGAAGTTCTTCATGCTGCTTGAAACTTGGCCGACTTCTCTCTAATGGGAAACCCTGCAATGCCTCTTAACAGAAGCCTAAATCTTAGTCTACATTGTCAAGCTCTCGGGGTTCTCAATGATCTTTGAGAAGGTTTGAAGGAATGCAGCCAAGTCAGCACCATAAATAATTCGATGATCAGCTGTAACATTCACCTGAAAAATATTCACCAAAGAACAATTATGAGATGAAAACTTCAAATTGAAATTGCGTAACATTTCAATACTTGTGACTTGCACTCCACCGATCATGTTACCAAATACTCACTGCTCTCTATAATTAGCATTCTGTAACTTGATCTCTATGGGAGTAAAACGTGAAGCAATGACCAATATTGTTTGATATTCCAAGTAGGCTGCATCACAATGAGCCATGCACCATAGAAAATGTCATATCAAATGCATTCCATATCACTTGTCCATTTAAATTGCATTTACTGGTAATTGAAAGTGAGTTTGGACTTTGGATGAAGCAGGATCACGAGGGCTTATGAATTATGATTGTTGTCAGAAACGTTATCCCATATATAACTATTAGAAGTTTCCTAAAAATGCCATCAAATAGTAGGAAAAATATACTTCTCACAATGCCAAGTTGCTAATAATGTAGTATTGAACATTTGAATGGCAGCTTCACCTAAACCAGCTGGTCACAATAATTTAACACTCCACCGTGCGCACAAATAAAAAAAATAAAAATAAAAATAAAAATAAAAATAAAAATGAAGAAGATAAATTAAAAAAACTGAAGAAAGAAAAGATGGTGTCCTGGCAATAACTTTCAGGAAGGTAAATACTTTGTCTCAGTTTCTCTTAGATTTGCAGCCAACATATACATCTAGGATAATAATGATTTTATGAAATGAAATGTGGACAGGTGTGTCTAGAGGGACGAACAAGAACAGATATTCCAGGAAAGAAAGAACGAATATTTCTATCTGCTGCTTCCACTAATTATGAGCTCCCTTGCGAAAAGAGAAATACAAGAACTAGTTACTATATCTATCCCATAAAGATAGACTTTGCTTTCCTTTTTCGTTTGTCCCAAATTATATGTCACTTTCCTTGTTTAGAGTATAGTTATCAACAAATATAAAAATACAAGAACTAGTTATTCAATCCGTCCCATAAAAATAGACTTTCTTTCCTTTTTTGTTTGTTCTAAATTATATGCCACTTTCCTTGTTGAGAGTATAGTTAGATTTCTTAATTTACTAATATGCTCCTATTTAATGTGTCTTGTTATCAACAAATATAAATGACTCCTATGTAAACCATTTTTAGTATAGGGATATATTAGGAAAAATATAAGTAAAATTGTTATTTCCAACTATATTAATTACATTTTCTTAATCTATGTGAAAATTGAAACAAGCCTATTTTTATGAAACGGAAAGAGTATTTTTTTGAAAGAAATACGGAAGCAATGGATGAGAATAATTAATCGATTCAGGCTTTCTGTCATTAACCTCATAGGTACTATGTAGATCTTCATTAATCAATGTAATGCCCATAATTCTTTAATTTGCGTTCCATCACATAAGAAAACATACAATTCCATAAATTTCATGTCAGACAGTTTTCGCAAATTATAAACACTTCTTTAACTGTCAATCATCTAATGTCTAATGAAATCATTATCCTAGATACTCAGATTACTTTAAGAGCACCACCTCCAACACTCCAGTTATATAGACTTCAAAATCAAATTTGTAATCCCATGGATCGTCCAGAGCCAATATCAGTATTGCAGCATAAAGACACCTTATGATTCGTCTTACACCAATTTTATCTCAAACTAATTCCTATGCATGTGTGACTATCCACTTCACTGTGTAAAGACTGGCCTGAAGTAGTTATCTACTACAAGGAATGTAGTATAAGCAGACTAAAAATGATTTCTTTGGTTAAATTGCACCAGAATCTAAAAGGCTAACGTGATCTAACAACCATTCTAAGAAACACGTGCTAAGTTTGAATGTAGAGTGACATTACGAATTTCTAACCTAATCCATCTCAGCAACATGCATTCGGAAAGCCAGCTATAATGTTTCAGCACTAACATTTTGTAGTTTTACTTATTCCACGAGTACCAATCACTACTAGAAAATTATTGAAGAAAAATGTTAGTTCAGAAGAAAGCGACAACCTGCACAAAAAAAAGACTAGTGCTAAGCAAAAATTTTAGGTCAATGCCATGGGAACAGGCCCCTGTCCAAACAGGGGCCTGTTCAAGCAGTTTAACCCAAAATTTTGTCATATGGGAGCAAGGAATTTCTGTTCACAATTTATCCATCACAATATATTTCGTTGATACAGGTACGGGTTAAAACTCAGAATGGTACCCTAACTTTACATTACTTTAAATCGAACCTCATTAGTCCATTAACTTTAAATCATGAACCCCATCAGTCCTAAAGAAGAGTTCTGCGCATAATTACTAACGGATATCATACGTGGACACTGAAATGATGACATGGCATCCTATCTGATGTTACTTTGACACCTAATTGAAAACGTGTGTTATATTTAGTTAATTACTTATATTTAGTTATTTATTTTAGCATAATACGTAATTTCCTATTATTGTAAGTTTCCTATTATTTTTAGTTTCCTTGTAGTAGTATAAAACCCGTTTTATACTTTCTTTGAAGACTCAATTGATGGCTTAATAGATTTTTGTTCCCTCTTTATTCTTCTTCTCTTTCTCTTCTCTTTTCTTCCTTTTGAATTGATTCAACATATTGGTTTGAGATTCATTATATTGTTATCATGGTATCAGAGCCTATAATTGAGTTAAAATTTGTGAAATTTCTGTTTGGGTCGTGCTGAAATCAAGATAGAAATCAGGCAAAGAAAGTTTGTATGAAAAATCTATTCGACAGCAACTTAAAATCAAGATTCCGACCAAACTGGAGATCCATTAAGAAAACGGAGACCAGATCCTTGTTCAGCAGGTTGAGACGAAACGTCCGGTCAGGCGCGTGTCGGTGTTTGGCGGCGCGTGGTGGTGGCGCGTGAGGACCACGCGCAGAGGCAGTGGTGGCGCGTGAAGGCGCGTGAGTCATTTTTTCGGGGTTTTTCCAAAAGGCAATTTGTTCCTTGGTAAATTTTTGATCTTTTGGTGATATTAATTTGGTTATACGTATATTGTGCAGTATATTTTAACTATAGTTTGTGGAAGTACGTTGGTTATCATTGGTTATAGTTTGTGGAAGTACGTTGGTTATCATTGGTTATAGTTTGTGGAAGTACGTTGGTTATCATTGGTTATAGTTTGTGGAAGTACGTTGGTTATCATTGGTTATAGTTTGTGGAAGTACGTTGGTTATCATTGGTTATAGTTTGTGGAAGTACGTTGGTTATTGTTGGTATTTATTGACTTTATGATGGCTACTGAAAGAGATGATTCACTTCAATCCATTAGTGTCAGACTAAATGGTAAAAATTACTCGTATTGGAGTACAGTGATGAGAAATTTTTTAAAGGGAAAAAGATTATGGGGCTATGTTAGCGGAACTATTGTGAAACCCGAGAACACTGCTCAGAATTATGTAACAGAGTTAGATAATTGGGAGTCAAACAATGCGAAAATTCTCACTTGGATTCACAATTCCGTTGAGCAATCTATTGGTACACAATCAGCGAAGTTTGAAACAGCAAAAGAAGTTTGGGAGCATTTTCAAACATTATAAACTAAATCTAACTTTGCAAAACGATATCAGTTGGAAATTGATATACGGGTTTTACATCAGAAAGATATGAGTATTCTTGAGTTCTACGCTGCTATGAACTCTATCTGGGATGAGCTGGCTCTTACGGAATCAGCAGGACTGAAAGCATGTGAGGAATATATTACTTTTAGAGAGGAGCAGAGATTAGTTCAATTTTTTATGGCACTTCGCAGTGATTTTGAGGGACTTGGAGGCTTTATTTTACATCGCACTCCACTTCCTTCGGTTGATTCGGTGGTTAGTGAACTTGTAGCTGAAGAAATACGTTTGAAATCTCTTGCAGGAGAAGTATCTCTTCCTCCATCCAG